TAGCAGACCCTAACGGCGCTGTAAGCAGTTCACAACCATATGTGACAAGCTGGATATTATGAAGGTGTGTATTATTGGCTGCATTTACCGGAATGGTATTAATGAACATTGACATGAGGACGTTTGTTGCTGGTTAAGTATAAAGCCAACCGTCATCTCAGGTCTCTTCATTGAGGCCTGGATGTGAAACATTATGTCATAAAATTTACGACAGACGAATTCGGTTTGCAAGGTGAACAAGCCCAAACCAGGGTCACTAAGTGGCTTTGATGCCACCGCCTAATATCAGGGCCTCAAGCTATGGGAGTAGCACAGAGTAGAGTGAGTGATGGTTGGCGCACAGTCAAGGTACACTTGGAGCCACCCCACACGTTCCTACCAATTCCATCATATGGAAGTCGCATGAGCTTACATGATCACCCAGTAAACTAGACAACTGCACTCATCTTGGCACCCCCGTTATTTGAAAAACCACAGTTCTTATCGGTGGCACAGATGCGGCGGAGCAGTCAGGACCGGAATATATATAAGTGAGAATTTGCATGCTCAGCATCTTTGAACAAGATAGAATGCGCTACAAATAATTGCGCAGGCAACATTGAATAAGTACGGCAACTACATTGCTGGTGGTATTCATTATATTAACAAGGGGAACGAAATCACGTCCAAGTACATCATAATTTCCAGAAAGCGGATTTCAATTTGACCCAGACATGATAGCACTGTTTGATTTGACCTGTATCGTCTGCCTTGCAATCACTGCACAGAAGATCTCTGTTCACCTTCACAGCGGTCACTGTCCGGCCAATAAGGTAGACATCAGCAGTCCCTGGCTCCTTAAAGTACGATGCCACGTTCTGTGCAGATGTGCCGACACCTGTGAAAATAATTACAAAGTAATTTAACAAAGCCATTGGATCCATTAACACATAGCCGCAACATATCATGGCAATAATTTAACCTGCAAATTAGGTTAATCTGGTAGCAGTATCTACAAAACACCTGCAACGGTTGACTTACATTACAGGCAAGCAGTTTCTTATGTTAAGGGGATTTAACAAGGACAAGGCTGCCAAATGTAGCTCCACTCTCCACTTTTGCATAACCTGTCTTACATAGGCCTCTCAGGTGGGATACTGAAGAAAGGGAATAGAGAAAGACGCACTTCCATAACTTTATCTCCCCTTCAGCGGACAAACGCCATTGTCTTGAAGGCATTGAAGAACTTACGTCCATCCACACACACCACGTCTCCGAACTAAAAATACAGCACTGCTGTGAGGAAACAATACGAAATTTAGACTAAACGGCTGAAGGAAACCTCTCTGAATGCACACTTTACTGCCACATGCGTAAAGGGAGCACTGCCATACCCATGATCCAGGAAGGACCGAGTTCAGGCAAAATAACAAGTTGCATTAAAGGTGTTGGGGTAAAAAAGAAGGCCCGCTATTCCCATCTTTCTGCAATAAGAAGCATTTGACGCCATGGAGGGAGGACTACTTTGAGGAACAGGGAGTGCCCATATTAGGATTGTTCAAACTGAACTAAGCCGCGAGGACATTAGGGATGGTAGTCATTGATGCAGGAGCACCTTCCTTGGGCACAGGCCTCTACAGCAATCACATTCAGTGAAAGTATTAAATTTACATTTGCCAACTCGTTCATGTTTATCCGCGTCAGTAATGGTGGCATGATTGATAAGCACATAACTCCCAGTTAAGGCACCGTGCAGTGTCGACTGCCTACTCCAACACAAAGCGGAGAATTCGCAATACAATAGACCTTCACAGTCACCTTCCAATGTATTTCACACATTCCTAACACCTTCAAGTAGGTCAGAGTGGCAGGACACTAAAATATTTCCACGCTTCTTGCTGTGAATATAAACAACCAATTAAACATTGCTGGCAGCAGTAATAAAGTAAAACTACACTCATTGCGCCAAAGCACCAATTCAACGTCCAGTGAGGAGGCAGAAGCAGGTTCAGCACCTCTGAGTCTGGTATTCCTTATGGCGCCGAAGATGGAGCTATCCCCTGAGTACTGCCCCACTATACAGGAAAAATAAACGAAAGATCACAAGCAGTAAGTACATTGGAAATAGGCAAAGTAACACAAGCGATGTGCACGGTGCGAAGGCCTTGCTCTTGCCTGCCTTACCACAACTACAGTCTTAAGTCTACCCGCCTAGTTTTCTTTTGAGTAGCTCCCACAAAACCTACTCCAAAGATCTAAATCAGGACCTTAAATCGCAACCGTAATCTGAATTCGCGATACTTCCCTGACTACATCCATAATAGGGGATCAGGCAGCACTGGGATGACTACGAGGAAGCAGGAAGAAATGACGCCAGCATGCAACTTCATAAAGCTACTCTTCCTTGTTTCAAGTTTCCTCTTAATAACTACACCCACAAAAAGTGATCGGCAAACAAAACATACTCCCTCAGGAATGTCCTCCAACCTTAGCATTAATACCTTAGTTGCCTACCACAGATGGCTTCCTCCATATCACCTACGCCAATTTTATAAATACCTCATTCCACAATTGAGCGCCTTTCATAGTCTAAGGAGGTGACTCGAGCGTTGCAGCAGGACAGTGAAGAAGGATTTCCATCTGGTATACCTGCCTTCTCACAGCAGTCTAACTATTAATGCTATAGTTCAAAATACCCAAAATATTCGATCAAGAGATTAAATGTAATGCAAAAAATACACAATCAAGATAGTTAGCCGTGCATTTATGGCATATTTGTGCCCAGGTTGCAAGTTACTTACTTTGTAGATCCTGCGCATACCATAGTTGTTTCGAAGGACAGTGTAGCAGCCAATCTCGAACATCACAGTGCGAGTTTCGTCTCCCAATACAACCTTCTTTGACGCCTCACTAATTCATCTGCTTAGCCCTTATAATGACGCTTCTATGGTTATGATCTTAAAAAGATAGTGAAATAAACTCGAGTCACATACTTGTGTCAGTAGGAATCAAACTCAATACCTTTGCCTGAATACTAAGTTTAAGCACTATGGAAGAGGGCATACGTTACTGGTGTCTGAATCTACTTGCAGCGCTCAGGTTCTTTTCAAAATATTGTAATAAATCAAGGCACTGTGGTAAGACCTATGTTGCTGGGGCACAGTGGGTTCAAGAGGCAAATGGCAGGGCCCTTAGTCCATGTCAAGTAGCAGAAGCATAATTGCGGAACCTTAAGTGTCTGCATAAGAAAATGCAGCCAAACAAACTAGGCAAGTATTACAATGCCGAGCCTAGATACTAGCAACAGAGTCGTTATTTATATTTGCACCTGCTTTTGGCGCTTGTCCCAATAGAATATTCTTTGGTGAGGCAGTTCACAATTGAAACAACCCCAGAAGTGAGGAGAACACAATTCTGTCCAATAAAGCTCATCTGGATGATAGAAGGGGAGAAAACAGAGAAAACACTCCAGGGATATTGTTATTGACTCATAATACCTATGCTGTTTAAAATGCTTAAGAGCACTACATTGAAAGAGATAAGATAATAAGTATCAGCAACAATCACTACCACCCAATTCATCATGCAGAAGTGAGAAACGCTTCACAAATAGCAAACAAAAACCAGATGGATCTCTGCATTCAATTTTTATGCGCAGTTGGAATAGACGATGGTCTGGAGCATTAATTCTGCACCCCATGAAAGTACTCGCACAAGAGAAAAACGAAGACCATTGATATCATGAGACTTGAATTCGAGTGGGGACCACACTAAGACTTCGCCCATGTCTCCACGGCGCTTGTCAATCAAACATCAGACGCCGCATTAAAAACGGCCACAAAAATGTGCGATAGTGTCAAGGTCTTGAATACAGGGATGAGTGGGCAATGGGGGGGAACACCTGCGCCCATGCCTTGCACCTGTCGGTGTCGGTGACAGTCCTCCCAACCCTACAAGCCAGTGCAAATGCAGCTTCAGTGCATGGAAAATGGATATGACAGCACTCAAATTCAATCGACGTTACAACTAGACTTGGGGAGTGGAGAAAGGGGAAGAACAAGTTCACTGAACCCTTGTGCCTACACCTCAGTAATTCAGTCAACTTAAACTCACATGCAGTAGGAGGGCTGGTGTTTGCGTGAAACAGTGAAAAAACTACTGCGTGTAAACAAGACAGCTGAACAAGGTGAACCATTTCCTTCCCCTCATCATGAGGAGCATCTGCCTCCTTAAACACTGCTAGTGGCAATGATGTAATCAAAGTGAAGCAATGCTCACCAAATACATTTACCACGGAAGAGTTCAGAAGGGAAAGGAGAGAGGGGCGTAGGTGTCAATTTTAGCGTATCGAAAAATCTGATTGAGTTAGCGAAGCTATAGTAACTTTAACCAGCTCGTTCACTCCTGACAGGATGGTACATACGTCTCGACGCCACATCTTATGCCGTTGAAGTAAATTGGATGGGAGAAGAGATAGGAAGGTAGGTAGATAATTAGATAGACAGAAAGAAAGGTAGATATATGGAAAAAACCAGAGGGTGGGATTATAGATATAGAAAGAAACAGATCTCCCCGCCTTTACCTGCATATCTACCTAGGGCCTCACCAACCAGATAACCCAATGAATAGACAACTAAAAAGTAAGTAAAGAAACAAATGAATCATCATGCTTGCCAGTGGACGAAGTTGCAGGAGTGGACAAATTCATAGGGCAAAAATAAGGGTTAATTACTACTATGATTAAAAGGAGGGTGAAGACCATGCCGAGGCTACATTTCTGCAGCAGGGGCGGTGGAGACACCGAAGTGTTTAATGTGTTGCCTCCAAAGTCGTGAGCATAATGCTACACCCGCAATGAACACTTCATTCATTAGCAATTCGGAGGCGATAATCCCAAGATTCCTCTTTTGGTTATAATAAACGTGCGCTAAACAGCCAGATTCACCCAAAGTCGTATCCTCTTTACGTCTCCTTGCTTACTTATAAGCAAGATAAAGTCAGCAGAAGGAACAGACAAAATTGTTTGATATTCTGTAAAACATGAGTGGGCATGAATGGGGTACAAGTGTCGGCAAGACTTTCCTCAAATTCGTAAGCAGTGCGAATTAAAGCAGCTGTAAACTTTCTCATCACAGGTACATTAGCTATAAAATATGCACAGTTGAGGCAACAGTAGTGTATACCACAACAAATACTCTTCTGACTTAGTAGGAGTGATAAAGTTTATTTGGAGGCAAGAGTCATGCTTCATTGCAGATATTCACGCGAGTCATGACCCAGATTGCTGCAGTACTCTCTATCAACATCCAGTATCCTCGATTCGGTAACAGTAGCTCTAGAATACTGTTAAATAAGCACTAATAACATGCCCTAATCATAATTCTTAAAAGGCACATTCATGTACATCAAAACCTGCTGGGCACAACCTTTCTCGGTTATGCTGGGACAACGATGCAAGTAATAGGCAAGCGCGCACCAATTATTCTTTGACACAGCAAACGAAAACAAGTGGCAAAGCCTAATACAAAAATGTCAATTCAGTGAATGAGCACAAAAATCGGACCTGTCAATATTCAGTAAAACCAGTGCTGAGTGAAGGCAGGGTAAAGCAGAATTGAGAGGGGCAGTGGAGCAGAAAACAATGAAATGAAGCGGATAAGGTAACAAATGCCACTCAATTTCACTTTGCGACTTCCAGTAGTGGTCTATTGACGAAAAAAGACGAAGGCAATGAAGCAAGGTACCTTATTAGAGGCGAAGCAACCGCTGCTCCTGACTGATTCATTAAAGGCAAGGCAAAAGTGCAGGAATTTAGACTTGGTCACTTTCCTGCGTCAGGCATTAAAAGTCCGCCAGTGTGCGCAGGACTGGAGGAAATTCGACAGCAGATATATGTACAACTAGTCGCGATCGCATGAATTAATTTACCAGGATCAGAGAAATGCCATTGCTGTTGAACGTATGACAAAGCAGAGCTGCATGTCAGTTGATCAAAGATCATTCTCTCGATGCAGCCTCGCCAACACAAGGCGATGTCGATTGAGGCAGACTGTCAGATGCAACGTCGTGATTGAAGCCCTTGTGCCTTACGAGCGGCGTTGACTTCGGTGCTCCCAGTCTTCCACAGATACATCATTAAAACTGTGCACCAGCTAGAGAAGACTTGATGTCTGTAGAACTTCATGCAGCATCATGTCACGTCGTTTCAAGCCAAGAAGTGGTTTTGTGATACGTGTCACATATACGTGATGCCAGATGGGTCGA